GCTGCTCCCCTTTGGCCTTCCTGGCATGGTTGAACCTTGTGGAACGAAGTTCGAGCCAGTGTAGCCCGCGGGATCATTGCAGCACTGAAGCCCGACCACCACGTCAAGGTAGCAGCTTTAGGTCGGGGGATTCGACTGACGTTAGATCCATGAAGTGCTATGTGGTTTGTTTACGTGACGCCTGTGAGCAGCCTTCCTGGGCGGCTGGATAGGAGTTCCCCATGAAGGTATCAATGACAACGTAAAAGAGAAGAGGGAAGACGCCCGGCGCAACTAGTGTCAGGTTGGGGACATTCAAGAACCAGTATGTGTTACTGGTGTGTTGCTGTGCATGGTGATGATGTTGAGGACTTTGTTATGAAATTTTATTAACTTTCCACAATATCGGTGGAAGGTCTGGTAAACAATGAGATTAATGTATAAAAATGTGGATTGAAGAGGGAAGATGTGGTTGTTTTAATAAACATTCCGTTGAACGTTCATCACAGTATACATTCGCCAGGTGAGTATAGCAGCGTCCGCCACATGTGCTGCGGTGAATGGCGAGAACTGTTAACCATGATCATACGATAGATCCTGGTAGATGGGTCAAGAAGTTCCAACCAAGAGCAAACGAATCACTTCTAACATCTTATCTCTCTTTGTTGTGTGACAACTGTTCGGCGCAACTCGCGTCATTGTCATGTTTGATTAAGCGACTGGCAGCTGGTTTGAAGCCATACCTGAGACTTCTCGAGATTGGGCTCAGGTGCCATCGTAGGCAAGAATATATGTTTCCCATGTGTAAAGTAGTTTCTTGTTGGAACCATCTGCTTTCTGTAAGTCTCCAAGAGATGTGGTACTCTCTCAGTTATTTTTCATTTCAGATGTCGGCCTTTAAGAGATTAGTAAAACGCCTGGGACTAGTCGCAGCGGTTTCCGGTATGGGTGCGGTCTTCCTTCTTGAAGCTCTTCCAAAAATCAACGAAGCACGGCGTACGAAGGCGAGTCATTGTTTGCAAAATTTAGTTAGACTGTCTGTAAACCTATCCAAACGCACGCTATGACGGGACATCTGACGAGGTTTGATCAGGAGTTGTCACTTGTATGACACCCGACACCGATGTCCAGCCCCTTTAGGTACCACTCAGTACCACTACAGCTTGTTCTGAATTTAGCAGATAACCCGTCAACGCCATTGTTTCACTTTTGCTGTTAGTGCATCTCCTCCTGGACCAGTGCCACTTATTCACTTACGGCCTTGCGTTGTTGATGCTTCTGTCTACCTCCCGGATGTTTTTGCTCATAGTTTCAAAGTGTAATCTTTTATCCGTCAAAAGTTAGAGAGGAGTTGGTTTGGACAAACGAGCGCAGTCCATGACTTGCCTCTTGACGCCTCTTGTTGAGACGGTGCGGTGGTTAGAGCACGAATTTACTGACCGGAAGGCTCTCGGTTCGAACCCAACATCTGTCTCTCCACTTCCCCTGTCTAGGCTTGGGCAACCTTGCAGTATCCTAGCCTTCGTGCTTCGCTTGGGTGACATGGCAGCTAGCTGAGCGATTATTATTATTACTACTATTATTATTATTCCGACGCCTTTACATTTGATTTCGGCTCTACAACAACAGGAGTTCCGCTTAAAAGTTTCGGTTGTTGGTCTCTATCAAGTATCACCGCCAGAGCAAAACTTCTGAAGCCTACTTTTGTACTATTGTTTTTCTTGTACTGTTTCTGAAAACTTGTAATGGAGGTTAATAAATAACACTTATGATTGTTTAGCCGTGAAACCCTTCCGGTGCATGGCTGCCGTACCATCCAGAGAAGCATAAGGGTAGAGATACTGCCAGGTTGCCCAAACCTAGGCAGAAGCAGTCGAGATGTCGGCGTTGGGTCAGTAAGTTCGCACCCTAACCAATGGGCTATCTCGATCCTGTTTGCAGCGACATCGTGAGAGGTTTGCACGCTAGACTGAACCATTTGCATGACTGAGGGAATTATCGGCTGGGGAAACGTGAACCGGAACTCTTTACTAGTTTGGACACTCCTCGCGGCCGATAGACGCACCGTGTTATGATTTACCTGGTCTCAAGCGAGACATACCGTCACTTATCCTTCAACTGCCCAGTTCTTATCACGCAAACTGGTGTTGAAGAGTGTCTGTACGGTACACAATTGGGCTTTCGTCCTTCAAATAAGATAAACCTATGCTGAGAAACCGAGAACCAATATACGGCTGTTTCATCATTCTTGTGAGTCATCAGTAGTGCATATGCGGTAGATTTTAACCCTCGGCCTTCCTTATACCGTTGACCACGAGTGGCTGGTCAGCGGAGCAGGTGATTTGCGCTTGGGCTATTCGTTGCTCATCCTCCAATAGTGCAGTTCACACCAGGCGGTTATGCCCTAACTGGTTCTCTGGTTGACGATTTATCAGATAGAAGGCCCACATGGACTGTGGGATTTTGCACCTTCTGAGTAGGTTGCTTGTAATTTATCGGCAATGAGGAGATCCACTTGCTAACAAGAACCTTGCGGGTTTGAATATCTCTCCATGTATTCGTGAGAGGCACACTCCTGATGACTGCTCTGGAATGTACGGTACTACTCGGATTTTCAGTTTTGGCGACGACGACTCAACTCCAGCATCTCCTCACTACACACAAATCACATGGGGCAATACCTTTCTCCCAGCGCCGCGATTCGTCAGGCATCGTTCCTCTAAAAAAGTTGGGCACTGTAGAGAATGTTGTTATCCGGTCCTAGTGTAACAACGTCGTTTTCTCGTTTTACGTGCGGGGATTGTTACTATTGAAGCCGAGTCAATTTCCGTGCTGCCAACAAGCAGGAAACAGTCCGCACGGCACTAAAAAATGCATTCGTGATAGAGAACTGATCGTTTCAGGGGGATTTAACTATGCAATCATCCTTGTTTGTTTGCATTCGTTGAGTGAGCTAATTTTAGAAGCGGTCCTATTGTTGAACTCTGGTGTTCTAGTATGTGTCTGCGAGCCAATTCCCGTAGGTAATGCCGTAAATGAATTCCCATCTATAACTCCTCCGAGATAGGATGGCATAGGTTGGTTTGTGCTGCACGTTAGGCTCATTCTGTTTACAATTGTTAGCCCTGCATACTTCATAGGAGTGCCTGCGCTGTCCCATAGAAGATCCCGTCGGACCTACACGTGTCGATTGCTATCTTGTTTTCTGTGCTAGTTAGGTGATGTGGCTTGTAATGTTAATGAGTTATTTAAGTTTTCCTTTCCGGTTCTATTCTGCCAAGGCGGGGCTAGAGATGTTTATTGGTTATCGATGCATAGTTTGAAATGCAGCGGGCGTAAAAACAAGCTACCTTGTGTGGAATGATTCACGAACCTCCAACTGAGTTGACATGACGTTTGATTGATCGTATTGAAGGTTGTGTCTGAAGTATCAGATATTCGCACATGCTACACCCATCCACTTTACTGCCTGCTGATACCTGATCATCGATCGTGCTGTTTTCCCCTGGACGGAAAATTGTTGTTCATTCTGTGATGCTCGAAAAAATCGGTACGGTTTGCCTTCTAAACGTTTTGGTTCAGACGCCGGTCATCAGTACGCACTGCATGCGTTGGTAGTCACCGCGCATACTGGTACTTTTGAGTATGACTGTTGACTGATAGTTTAATCGATCCATTTCTACGGATGCAATTTCAAAATCCTTCTTGGAAAATACTCCGTTGATTAGAAGCTCCTTCCACCTTGGTTAAATTCTATCAAATAAATGGCCCCACCTTAGGATGGAAGTTATCAGTTAGGGGCTCCTCAGTTTCGGGGTTTCCTTATCAACCAACACAACTTGAACTCATCGTTGGACAGATAAACGAATGGTCTTGAAAGATTACAACTTCAAAATCTGGCCATGTGTGTGGAGCACCAATCACTTCATCAAATAGAAATTTCATACACACTATTCACCATTCTTTCTTCATACTTGACCTCCATTACTGATGGCTGCATTCTTTGAACGGCCTGTTGTTTTGCCTGGTCATTCTCTGCATATCGATTTTTTCTAGGTTTCTCTTCACCGGAGCTAGCCTTGGGTTCAAGTATGTATCCACATCTAACAGTACGTAATCCTTTCTAAAAGTGTCCACATTTAACTGAGCTGCTAAACAACAGTCGGCTAACATCAGAACCATCAGTATTCTGTGACACACCACAAACTAACTCTGGAAGGCTTCAAGCTCATTGTTACCGATGCTGCCTTCTGACCTATAGGGGGTGGCTGCAATTCACTCGCCGAACAAGCAGACATTGACCACAAGACGTAGTAAAACATTTTTAAGTTTCGACGTATGAATACACTTTGACGTAGAAATCAGTGGCCAGGCTGATTTGCCTGCTCCAGGGAACTCTGCTTGGAAGCTTTTACTTGTTTTTATTTTTGATTGTATCTCCGATCCCTTTGTGTCTAGAGTTACTCTCCTCAACGGTGGCACAATTCAGTTACACCGCCCAACACTGTTTTCCATGTTTTGTTTCTGGAACACCTCGTGTAGATTTTAAGCGTGATGGTCCAAAGTCCGAACCCGGTTTGTTGAAATTGATAAAAGAACTTTAGATTGTCAGGCACAGTAGCACGCTTAAAGGAGTGTTACGCGTAAAAGGGATACCTGACCTCTCTCGGAGAGGCGCTGTCTCTCTTTGAGGAGAAGAGAGAACTCTCGTGGGCTTTGCAGGGAAATTGCTCCTTTTTGTAGAGTCTTTTGAGAGACCTGTTGGATACTAAGTAGTACGCGTAAAATGGTATGCCGGCGTCCCCTGGATCACGACGGTCATCGCACCAATATGACTTATCGTACAAGGTACACCCTACCTTGTTTGGTCCCGAAACACCCAAGCAAGTCGGTATGAATCGGACACAGTATCGGGCTAGAAGAGAATGGCGAAGTGCTTTGGCTTTTTTCATATGCAGTCTCCCTACCATCTAATATATCTCCCTTTCACTTCCCCAACGTATTTTCTGTTGAAATAAGTAAGAAACCCCGAGATGGGCACCTTTCTCTGGACATGCAAATTCGTACTAGCATACATCAATAATCCCGATTCACCATACTGATGACCGTTTTATACACATCCTCAATTCCCCCCAAGTTTGTGAAACTCCCCGGCATCCACTGCGCATAGGTTTTATCAGGTTGTTTTCAGAGTGATACTGGGATCACCTAGTCCTTCGTACCCCATATCGATCGACTGCTTATGATGCAATTATGCCTAAATCAGATAAAGGAGACACCTTAGACTGATCTCTAGCTTCCCTGTGTCACATGCATGCACTCGAACATCTACGACCATCATTACCTACATTTCATCAGGACTGTGTCACTGCAAACTCTCCAAACGTGTGATCATCATCATCACTGACATAGATGCCAGTGTGAGGACCCAGATGCTCAGCTGCTGCGCAGTCATCGTGGATTACTTAAGTAGAGCTAAATCCAGTTGATTACAGTCAAGTGAGTAGGGAGCAATAAATTGGAGGGTTAAGACAGGGGTTTCAAGTAGTCATCAAGGCCGTACCTACGGAAACGGCGAACTGAAATGAGGAGCCGGACTTGTTAAGTCACGATTTTTTCTATAGACTTCTACTTCGACAGACTTCAGTTCGACTCCTATCGTGTCTAAACAGTTTGTTCGGAATTCACGCATGTCACGTCTATCCATGGGTAAACGCTAAACCGTTGCTGTAAATTTGATACTAGCTGTATTGGATTTGAGGCCAGCTGTTTCTTGTTGGCTGTAACGATGCGGGTGACAGGTTGCTCTGATTGTAATTGGGTGTGCTGGTATTCAGCATCACTTAAAAGAGAGTCCGACTTGGTGACACATGAGTGCCCAGTTTCATTGGACGTTGGATGTGACGTTGCATGCAGGTGCTACATTATTGGTGTGGCATTTTTGACGTCCCCTGTGACAAAAGCGTGGATGCGTTCTCTGTTGAAGTTCACTACCACGCGGATGAAAATAACAGAGCATTTAGCACTACCTCAGTTTGGTCGAAAACCATAAATACTCAAGTCCTAAACACCATCTCATCAGATCCTAATGAAAGAACAATATAGATAGGGGGACGATTAAATGAATACCGCTCAGTTGACGAGATCACAGACGGTCGGTTGATTACTGTTCTGATCCATTCTCTATAGTTCGGTTACGTTAGTTAACCACAGACAATTCACCGTGAACGCCTTAACTGGTCTTATTTAAATAGGCAGTCTTTCTTGGAAAGGAACAGACCACCGCAGAAGTAAGTAGTAGGGTACTCACCTCGAGTTTTAATAACGATGATGATAACAACAGTGCGATAACACATTGGAGCTACGGAATGAACATTGTACCCCATCATTTAGACCATCTTTACTGCCCACGGACACCGTTGCCATGGTAAAAGATGACAAGCCTTTGGAGAAACGCAACACCACACAAGCGACAACTGAAGTCGCGTCGGAGACGCGTCCTTTGAGACCGAGCTTATGCGCGATTTCATTATGGGCATTCTCTCTGCTTCAGGTGTTCCGTTCAGTGATGGATAACTTTGGTATCTTGGCTTAAGAAGCATCGTGTTTGACAGATGATGACACTATGGTTTCATCAGACAATATCCTACTTTGAGTTTTTGTTCTGTGGCGATCTCCAGAGGCCGAAGTTATGATTGTGTAATTCTACCCGTGGTCTCTGGAGACATAGTCAGGTCAATAACGCGCATTTCGTTTGTAAACTCTCTCTCCTCTCTGAAGAAACCACTTTCGAAACCTTCTCTAAAGTGTTCTCTCTCGGGAGGACAGGTTGGTTTCTTCTTTGAGCTAGTAAAGTTGTCTGCAAACGTCTCATCACCAACATAAGTGACATCATCAGTGCGTCTTTGGAAAGCAAAGCCTAGCACCTCGATTGTTGATGAAACGTTTGCAACCAACTTGCCTAGCTCAGCGATCGAGCCAACGACCAACTATGCTTCCGAAGTCACCCAGATTCGCCAATCGATCTTTCCAGGTGGTTCCCCTTCAGCAATAAGGTAGAGTAAAGTTAGCGTAATACACTCATTTACATACCAATTTGGTTTTGATGATAGACTCATCTGAAAACCAGCTGAGCAATGCATTACATCTAAACGANCGATATCTCGAATGTCGTACCAACTGAAGCATAAGGCAGTCTGGTGAAGCACATTTGGTTGCTTAAAAACACCACAAACGAGAGATTCAGCCGGGTTCCAGATGAGTCTCCTGTCAAAACCAAACTGGAATGCAAATGAGTGTATTTCACTAATTTCGTGTAATTTTGGTTCAAGTGGAAAAAACACGATTGACCGAAACTCCGAGACTCCGTCTACTTGATGGGCTCCAAGAAGGGCCAAACCGGTCGTGGGCTGTCGAAGAGTTTTCAGCAACCTCATAATTATGTGGAGTAAAGTTGTTTTTACTCTAGTGACCACCTGTAGAGACCCACGACACGTAGCCTGTTTCGATACATAGTTTTTTTTTCTGGAATGGGCTTGATCATTCGGAGAACACACAAGCCACAAGTGGTCTCATCTATGTATACAGCAAAAATGACTGGTTGGGGGCCATGCGAATAAAAATCCTGCTGTGACACATCCATGGGAATAGTGTTCTCTGTGTGCCATTTTCTCACAAAACCGACTGGTGTGAAACATCAATTTCAGTTGTTCTACTCGTAACTTCGAAATTGCCGTTTGTGCATTGCTATGCCAAATAGTGTTCGTAGGCGACTTCACTCACTGGAACGGACTTGTAGGTTGTACTTTTCGAGTGTATGTAAACAAGCCAGAATGACCCTAATCTGTTTTTTACTGAGGAACCTATGCTGCTTTCAGGGTGCGTACTTCTCTCACCAATCGGTTTGGTGAATACGGCCAGCGGCAGATCTCGAGATGACTCAAGCGCGAATTTACAGACTGGAACGTCCGTGGTTCAAACCCGACCTCGGTCTCTCGACTTCCCCTGTCTAGGCTTGGGCAACCTGGCAGTTTCCCAGCCCTCGTGCTTCCTTCGGGTGGCATGGTAGCTAGGCACCGGAGGGATGTTACAACTGAACGAGATCTCGATAAGATTCCCTGTGGTTCTCCGGTTTCGCAGAATGCTGGAGACCAGTTAACGATAGCTGATCCGAATCGGGCCGCTAATGTCCACATTGTTTTTTCATTAGCGCATTGGACAAACACATTTGCTGATATGTAGTCAGAACCCCATCTGACGAGTTACAGTGCTCTTTTAAACGGTTTCTGTATTCATAATTGGCATTTGGAAGTACCTGCAACTCCAAATTCTTACTTCACAATTGTCAGATGGGATACCAACATCACCGCAAAGTGGAATTACGTTGTCAGTAGTGTGGGGAATACTGGAAGTATGAATTTATACTCAGCCAATGCAGGTGATAGCGAGGGATAACGTTTCCAAACGGACCTAATGAAATAATCGAGAGAGTGGTCTTTCTTCGGAGGGATCGCACGACGAATCGTGTCTTTTGGAGAGTGACCTCATGTATTCTCCTGGAGAATGGCATCCACTCCGAGGGATCTCTCTTTAGAGTACTGTTTTTTAACAATTTATGTCGCTGTTTCTTACGGTTTCCAACAATCATGGTTCTGCTGTCCACAAACGAGGGAGTGGTGTCTTACACTATGTGCGTAGGAGTTGTGGGCTGGAGAATTTGGGAACCATCGGAAATTCACCCACAGAAGGGCCGAATTTGCTATGTAGCCAATGTCCGAACTTTGCTGCGTTCCTCATGTTAGGTTTCCAGGTTTCTCCATTCCAGTAGATTACCGAACTTCAGTTTGGTCTGTATACCCAGTCAAGCATGGCTGGTATTCTAGGGTACCCTATTCATATGGGCAACTTTCTTCTGAGGGGCCTGTTTTCGAGGAATTAATGTGTCGTTCATTGTTCATGAATTTGAAAAATTTTGTTTGGGAACCCGAATTCCGTTGGGATCAGACTTTGCGTCCAACAGCTGGTCTTGTGCCTTCTCGGTGACTCAGTGTAGGGGGGGCAGATGCGAATCTTGGACTCTGTTGGAAAAGAACCTTGCTCCTCCGCGGGTAAGTAAAGCATGCTGGCTGTATTGGTTCAATTCTCCCAACCTGCGGTGTCTGGTGGAATTCCCGGCAGCCTCCATCTGAAGTGACAGGACTTTCTCAGTGTCCACGAAATCCACATCTAACTTGCTGTGCAGCTTGTAATACTGCTCTGTCCTCCCACTTATTGAGTATCCTTGTCCACTTTACCCACCCTCATTCAGGCCCTTCTCAACCGTCCTAAATTATCTGCCGCAGAAATTGAACGTTTTAACAAACCCTTACCTTCTCGCATGGAACATTTGTCACGGATGTCTTCTGGTGAAATTTTTGATGTCCTAGTCATTGGGGGTGGTGCTACCGGCACCGGTGTTGCTGTGGATGCTGCTTCTCGGGGTGAGTGCCAACTTTTATCTGGTGGTTCATCGATCAGTCTTGACTGCCAACCAGAGGACTCCTTCACGCGGAATCTTAGATTTTCAGAAGGAAGGTAACGAGGGCTAATTAGCCCGGTTCTTCGGAGATCCCGTGTCATGCATGTATACTCAGCTTGTGTTGTTTTCGGTTGATTTGCCACTCCAGTCTTTGTTTTTGTTGCGCCTCCGTTTCAGGGTTGCATGGTTGTGCACCAGCCACATCTATGCAGATCAACCCACATAGAAAAATGTACTGATTCTGTGCCCTCATGACCGCTCGATCCCTCCTTTATCTTTATTTAACAGAAGAAAGCTTCAATTGATAGCATGATTTACCTCTTGAACGTTCATCTGAAGTCAACTTTTCCTACCGGTTCATCCGACCCGCCGCTTGTTCGTTAGATTTCTGCGCCGTATAACGTAAAAGTTCATGCTGAAATCACAAAATTTCATGTACAATGCTACTTCTCCAACACAATCTCGAAGAAAATTCGGTACTATCAGGAAGACATCAGGAAAGTCTAATCGGAAAAGTGCTACTCACAACGGAGCACACTGCGTCTGAACCCGTTACCACTGAACAATAACCAGTAGTCAGTACGAAGTTCCATGGAGTGCTCACTATTTTCACTAGTTTGGTGTCCAAACTGAATACACCGCCAATACAAGCCTCTGGTGAACTAATACGCGTTGAATGCTCCAGCAGTTGTCACATCTGAGCATCCGATTGAGCAAGGTTCCCTCGGAAACTGAGAGCTATGACAACCCCGACGCCATCGGCTTCAGGTCCATCCAAAGTTCAATTCGCTAATGTTTACACAGTGAAGGCGCTGCAATCACTGCACCTGGATCCCGCATTTGACCTTCGGAGATGCAGTATTTGTCTATCGATAAGGTATCTAGGATGAGTGCAAGAGCAGCTTGCCTAAAAGTCCTCACGTTAGAGGTCATGATGAAGACATGAAAATGTGGCTCGAACGACGAACGGAAAGCGGAAGTCCTGATATTTGGCTTGTTATCGGTCACTTTGTTTGTGATAGTGTGAGGATACGGGGGATTTCAAAAAACGATCTCCACGTTGAGTCAATCAACGCGTATGACCACGTGATGTGAATCGAAGGATAAGTGGCGCTATATCCTGTCCTAGTGTGAGCTAATCACACTGCTGGTCAGCCGTTTGCGCGGAGCGCTCAGACTACTAGCCGGGAGATCATGAGTTCGAAACCATGGAGTTTCTTTAGATTCCCAGTCGGGACAAAACGGTCGTACAGTGCTCTCCAGCATAGTTTGGCCTGACTTACAAGGCGAAATTTCTTTGGAACAATCAGTCACCTCCTTGGACGCTTGATGACGGGCCTACTGCCCGGTTGAAACAAGGAAATGTTAAGAGACAACCATGAAGAAGAACCTTCAGCAGTCGCACATTTCCACTCTGCTTTATGTTGCGAATAAGCTGACTTTGTTGGTATCACCTCGTGACGCCGGATGAGGCGTGAGGTTGCGTGTGGTTGTGCAAGACAGCGATGGAAAGTGCAGCTTTTTCAACGAATGTGGCTCCAACGGTTCGCTAGCAGTTACGTAACGCCTAAAACAGGAATTAGGCTGCCGTCAGATTGTCAAGGTTCGGCAAGCTGCACAACTTTGGGCAACATTGGTCTCCCCGAAAGCTGACTAATCGTGGTCCTCATATGGCAACTATCAACTTCTGGTCAACCAGCAGTCCAACGGAGGTGTCAAACCATAATTTTGTTGCGGTCATTTTTCTTTCCCTGCGCTTCTTGATGAAATTTGAAGCTGAAGATTAGGCGTTTGAGTCTAATTTTGTCATGCTCCTTTGCTCGCAAAGTCTCATTGTTGTGAGAGTGAAATCGCACAACCGGTGCTTGAGAAAACCGTATGGTCACAAAATGTTTGTCCTAGAGTATATTTCCACTTCCAGGGACGCTACTTTTTGGACGTGACTTTTGAGAACACGACTCGCTCTCGATGTATCATAATCTTGCTTTCCGAAAGAGGCGACGATAAGTGTGTGTGTGTCACATCATAACCACCTGGTCAAGCCTTCAGTAAATCCGTCGACGAATTCCGGACAACCGAGAAAATAAACCTCATAAATGAAGCCGTTTTCAATACTGAATACTACTCTATTAACAGTGAATTCGTACAGTGTTCCGTCAACCAGCTTGATCTGTTTCTTTTCTGGAATTGAATGAATTTTTTTCAACTGAACTCTTTCGTCACTCGATTCGAATCCAATGCGTCCTAAAGCATTGTGATGAGGCAGCGAAATGCGTCTGTAAGACGATTTACCAATGCTTTTGGCCTTCCGAGCAGCCCAAACGATCAGGACACCGGCAGCATTATCAGACGCGACTTTGCAGGTTTGCCTAGCTTGGGTGTACGACATTGAGCGGTTTCTGTTAGACGAGAATATCCGTACATTGAAACACTGGAATGAGTTATCGGCATCACTGTCAGGTGGCGTGACAAATTTCGTTTGATAGGAGACACGTGGTTAGAGCGTGAATTTACTGACCGGAAGGTCCGTGGTTCGAACCCGAACTCTGCCTTTCAACTTCCTCTGTCTAGGTTTGGGCAACCTGGCAGTATCCCAGCCCTCGTGCAATCTTCGGGTGGCATGGCAGCTAGGCACCGGAAGGGTGTTACAGCTGAATGACGCATGACAAACTTCCTCTGCACGCGACCATCTTGCTTCATTAGTTTGACTGGGATCGAGGTAAATTGTTCTTTGAGGCTTTGTCACACACTGGCAATAAGTTTCACGTTAGCGTTGAGATGGCAGTAACTAGAGCTTGTAACTTTTGTACAGTAACACTACCCACGTCAACTCGGCGTACTACGACTCTCTTCACGAGAAAGCTCCCTCCGAGGAGCCAGTTTTGTGGTTGCGGAATTTCCCCGCACCCCCTCGGAACCGAGGAGGCGACACATTCAAATCCACCAATTTTACTTCACAGGTCCGGAATCTGGAAATGCGTCTGCCGCAGCTCAGTAAGTAGACCACTCTCCCGGCAAGCGGAAGCTCGTGGGTTCGAGTTCCGTTCCAAGAACCGTCTTTCCGTTTGCATTGTGCGTGCATGGGTTCACATTCTGGAATTTCCAAAACTCCCCGTCTCTCCTACATCCGTTATTTTTATTATTTGACCATCACATTAGACGGACAGTAGGACAAGCCTCAGAGTATTTGCGATAGGCCACTACCAAGTCCCATCTCTCACCCAGCCTTTTCATTCTAAAGATTTAAATCTAATTAGACAAACTACTTGGTTGTACATTAGTGAAGCATCAGTGTCGCTGTCTTTAATGATGATGATGAAACCACTTTTAATGGTAGTCCGCGCCGACACACCCAACAGTCCAAATGGTGAAGAAAATTTGAGTCCAGATTCACCAAAGCACTCCACACCAATAAACCTGCGGTCACTTTCAAGACGCCAACATAGATGTCTCTCGCATCCATACCATTGTGGTTGTCTTCTTTTCTAGATGCTCTTTACTGCGAACAGAACCTGTACACTCGAAATCGAAATATTTCAGCTGTAGCACCCTTCCTGTGCTGAACTACAAAAGAAGCATGAGCTTAAACAGGAACGGTCGAGAATCAGGGGTCGGGTTCGAACCACGGACCTTCGGGTCAGTAAATTCGTGGTTTAACGACTGAGCAACGACGATCGAGCGCTTTCGATCCCCAGGAGATCCTTCGAACGTGCTAATTATCGGATCCAGATAAACTGGTGAGTAGATCAAGACTGGGAATAGTTTCATCACATGGGGTTGTTGCATCGGGCTGACCCTCATGCATGCCTACATCGTCTTGGTTCCAAAGAACGAAGAAGTGGTGAACCACCCGAATCATAGGTGACAATCGTGTGATCTTGAAGTGGTGCCGGAAAGTGAGAATGTTATTTGCCGCATGTGATGCGTCGCCTGACTGCACTGGGCTCTGACAGCGTGTCGACTAAAGTGAATTCACATTCCAATCGTCAAGATGTATTCTAACGCTTTGAAGTTGTGTCATAACTATCTGAATCTGTTCACCCGGCAACTAATGCTTGCTTTACATATTCGCCAATCGGGTGCTGTTCGGACCACTTGACTGAGCGATTTTGTGGGGAGGAACAGACGTGTAACGGCCTGCGATTTTGTTTGCGATAGTTTTGTTGTGGGTACACGATGCTTCTCTGTTTCAACCTGAGATCATCCCCAGGTGGAAAGTTATATGACCTTACTAGGGGAGAGTGTTTCTCTAGGAGTTGGGGCACTGTTTTGCTACATTTGTACCCCAAAGAAGACAATGTCGTTTTCATAGTACAAGCGAGATGGCCCAAGTGGTTAGAGCGCGAATTTACTGACCGGAAGGTCCGTGGTTCGAACCCGACCTCTGTCTCTCGACTTCCCCTGTCTAGGCTTGGGCAACCTGGCAGTATCCCAGCCCTCGTGCTTCCTTTGGGTGGCATGACAGCTAGGCACCGAAAGGGTGCTACAGCTGAACGCTTTTTTTGCCTACAAGCAACCTCATAACAGTGTTGCTTCTTGATCCCATGCCTTATTCAGTTCCTCGAACATTGCTGAAATTACAGCAGCATTGTATGGGAACGGTATACACCATAAGTGAACCGTGCTCCCAGAAAAGTTAGTCAAATCAACAATGATGTGTTTAAAAGTCACGTAGTTGCACAGCACATTACTGCTCGGGCCTAGGTATGCTGATCGGGTGCGACCAAAAGATGTACTCATCGTGGATAATTCACCCAGCGCCCCAAACGACTCACCACTTGCATTTAACTATGCAGAAGTTCCAACCAACGACACTCAGTTTGGATTTTTACGCCAATCGCAACAAGCAGGGTAATCGTCTCCCCCCTGAATCTAATCACCCCTCTAACACAACGAGATTCGCTCTGTATCTCGGAGCCACAAAAGCTGAACGACACATTGATGATGGCGTGGTTCATCGCTACCAACGCTCAAGGGACGACAAGTATAGGCCCACGGAGATAGTGGTTTCAGTAAACGAAAAAGGTACTAGTAGATAAAGTAATCCGAGTCTATTGCTCTCAATTTCGTGCCAATCTCACCGGACTATTCTCAAGACCGAAATTAAGGTGGAGTTGACTGGTTGTTCAGGATTTCCACTCACAATTTACGTGGGTTTTAACCCAGAAAGTTGTAATTCTCCAGGCAGAGGAATGTAGTTGGACTACGCCTACTCACCATATTCAAGTGTTCATAGACGAAGAGGCAACTCTGGGATTCAACCTCTGCTTTGCTTCCGATCGGTCGAGAACGATCAGTTCCTTTGGGAACAGTGAAAGTGAAGAAGCAGTGATGAAGTGAAATTGACGCGGATCAAGCGCGTTGAGGTCGAGAGCTATCTGAAGCAGTGTCGCGTTGATCACATCACCCCCGGCTGGCTGTTGTTGTTGCTGCGCGTGTATTCCTGCCTTCTTGATATGGAGTTCATAATTGACGCACTGCACGCGCGTTCATTCTTGAGTGTTGTTCATTATTGGCAAGGTGGGTGTAGTTTTTCTCACGTAAATTAGCCACACCCTTTTGATTCTCAGGTGCGCTTGCTGTCAGGTGCCCCTAATCGATTTGCTTGTATAACTAGTCGACAAGATTGTTGACATCTTAGGAGCGCATAGTTCGAATGTGAAACTCGAAACCGGGGATCAGAAGTCTGTTCATCGTGGTTACAGTGAACGAAGCAGATGTACTTTTATTGTCCATCAATTCCAATCACATGGTGGGAATTGTATTACCTTATAACCAAACTTTTAACAGCTTTGCAAGTTACTGACACTAGTATAAAAGATGAATGTGATCTCACGCGATAATGATGATTAGCATCGAATTAGACTGGTAAAAACTGTCTGATTTAAAGGTGGTCCAAACTTCTTATCCTACCTGCTCATTTTTCTACAATAGCGGAGGCAGTAATACTCGAGTTTTCTCATCGCTTCCATAGGTTTGACAAGCTGCGTTCATTGCTGTTTGGGACTATGTAGGACCCGGGCTTTTGTTGCAGATCACCAGAGGGAAAACAGTTCTTTTTTTCAGTTCCGTTTTACTTACACATAGATTCCTTGCTTGGTACAAACTGTTTATTCAGTTCTACGGCCTCCAATCAATACCAAACCAACATGGTTGTCCAACTCTTTTGAATAATTTTCAACTTCATGTCTACTTTATTTCCGTCGAAACCGTTCTTCACTGTGCAGTACCCACTGATGCATATCAAAAGGGAAACGGTGGAGTCGAATTTCGCTACCATTACGATTCAGTCGGGATGGAAGGTGCCCTCCGACCACCTGAGTTGCGCAACAAGCCCGTTTGATAGGTACGATGCGAACTCACGCCAAACTCAACAGATTAACCTATTCGAACGTATCAGCAATTTAGCCCCTTAGTGTTTGCACTGCTCAAAGTTGGAACAATGCTTCATTAACTTCCAGCCTTTTCAGTGGTTCGTTTAATAATTGAGTTCGGGAATGTTCTTTTAATGTTTGTTTATCGCTTATCAATCGGTTCATCTCCTCATCTGCTTTCTTGATAACTAGGATAAACAAACAAGCTGAGAGTACTTGCATTCAACTCGTATGATTTCGCTGACAAGAGAAGCTGTCGCTTTTTATTTGTCACTGGATATCATGAGAGTTTGGCTGTTCTCTTGGAGTGGACCGGCATGGAAGGCCGGGTTTACACTAACGATTTCGTTCCACGGTCGCACGGCACATGATTACTTACAAGTAGTAGGCTTCGTGCGAATTGCGACTGTCGATGTATTAGGTTTACCCACTGATACCTTGTCTTACTATCCTATCTAGGTCTATCCACATGTCTTGTTGAAAAGTACGACTTCGCCTCGGGGACTTCTTCACGTTCCACCAAACTCCTCCACGGCGGTGTTCGTTATCTTCAGAAAGCAGTGTTCAACTTGGACCTGGAACAGTTTCGCATGGTCAACGAGGCGTTGAGTGAACGGGCTAACCTGATCGACATCGCACCTCATTTGGCCTACCCGTTGCCTATTATGCTTCCGATCTACAAGTGAGTTTAGGTCTGTTGTGGGGCGAGATGGCCCAAGTGGTAAGAGCGCGAGTTTACCGACTGGAAGGTCCGTGGTTCGAACCCGACCACTGGCTCTCGACTTCCCCTGTCTAGGCTTGGGCAACCTGGCAGTATCCCAACCCTCGTGCTACCTCCGGGTGGCATGGCACTTAGGTGTGCGACAACTGAACGATTTAGGTCAGCTGGTTCTTTCTGCTAAGCTGCAGGCAACTTTGAGCTCGAGGTGTCAATTTACTCACCAGAAGATCCGTGGTCTGAACCCAACCCTGACATCTCAGCTGCTCATTGGTTGTTGATGTGTTCTCCGAGCTTGGCAATTGGCTTGCAAACGTTTCGTCACCATACGCGGAGACATCATCAGTGCACACTGATGAGGCTGCGCTCTTCTTGGGGCGCAGCTTGAACTCGAATCGGACTGATTTTGACAGCTACCCTCATCTGCATATCAGTTCGGTTTTCATGGGAGACTCTCGTTTATGATATTCTTCAACTGAGTGTGCAGCACAAAGGCCGCTCCATGTTTCATTCGATACGATATTTGAGATATCGCAGTAAAGTAAACTACTTAAAAGGTTGCTGCAAACTCTTCGACAGCCCACGACCGATGACTCATCGCGGTCCTACGTCTCTTCCCGTATCTGAATGCAAGCAAAGCTATGGCAAGAGCTCACGCTGGTGTGCGCGTAATTCGGATAGGTTCGTACTGACACCTGACCTATCTCGCTTTCAGATTTTCGCAAGATGTATTTAGAGATTCATTATTTTCTACCCTCCCTATACTTAAACGGTCTGTCACACCCAACTCCTCACTAAGTCTTTGATTCTGACGTTCCAGCGGTTTTTCTGTTGTCCTGTCACTGTTTTTTTCCTGACTACAAACGACTTTCCATTTTCATTACGTGTCATGTGATAAGCACGCAGTACGTGAGGGCCACGCCTCTCTTCTCGACTTTTCGTGCAACGTTTTCGCTCCTCATGGACAGTTGTGTTAATGTCACCACACCATACTGTGCATAGAATGCGTTCCCAGTGTAGCAGGAACTGTCTGGCTCCCTCATGTGCGCAAGCCATAACTGGGTAACGAATCGAGTAGCAAAGAGGCGAATAAAGCTTATCCAGTCAAGGTAACTGGGTGTGCAGACACAACCAGCGTCTATCAGAGAGAGCACCGGTTTCCATTCCAAACCATTACTGAAGGAGACACGGTCAGACTAGGTGCTGTGGGATCTTTATGCCTTCCTGGTTGGTACCCGCCTTGTTGGACATAGCGCGAAGTACCTGACCTTCCTGAATTCTTCGTACTGGGCTTGGGTTGGATAAGATACCGAACCCGACCACTGGCTCTCGACTTCCCCTGTCTAGGCTTGGGCAACATGGCAGTATCCCAGCCCTCGTGCTACCTCCGGGTGGCATGGCACTTAGGCGTGCGACGACTGAACGATTTAGGTCAGCTGCTTCTTTCTGCTAAGCTACAGGCAACTTTGAGCTCGAGGTGTCAATTTACTCACCAGAAGATCCGTGGTCTGAACCCAACCCTGACATCTCAGCTGCTCATTGGTTGTTGATGTGTTCTCCGAGCTTGGCAATTGGCTTGCAAACGTTTCGTCACCATACGCGGAGACATCATCAGTGCACACTGATGAGGCTGCGCTCTTCTTGGGGCGCAGCTTGAACTCGAATCGGACTGATTTTGACAGCTACCCTCATCTGCATATCAGTTCGGTTTTCATGGGAGACTCTCGTTTATGATATTCTTCAACTGAGTGTGCAGCACAAAGGCCGCTCCATGTTTCATTCGATACGATATTTGAGATATCGCAGTAAAGTAAACTACTTAAAAGGTTTTGATACGATATTTGAGATGTCGCAGTAAAGTAAACTACTTAAAAGGTTGCTGCAAACTCTTCGACAGCCCACGACCGATGACTCATCGCGGTCCTACGTCTCTTCCCGTATCTGAATGCAAGCAAAGCTATGGCAAGAGCTCACGCTGGTGTGCGCGTAATTCGGATAGGTTCGTACTGACACCTGACCTATCTCGCTTTCAGATTTTCGCAAGATGTATTTAGAGATTCATTATTTTCTACCCTCCCTATACTTAAACGGTCTGTCACACCCAACTCCTCACTAAGTCTTTGATTCTGACGTTCCAGCGGTTTTTCTGTTGTCCTGTCACTGTTTTTTTCCTGACTACAAACGACTTTCCATTTTCATTACGTGTCACGTGATAAGCACGCAGTACGTGAGGGCCACGCCTCTCTTCACGACACTTCGTGCAACGTTTTCGCTCCTCATGGACGGTTGTGTTAATATGTCACCACAGCCTACTGTGCATAGAATGCGTTCCCAGTGTAGCAGGAACTGTCTGGCTCCCTCATGTCCGCAAGCCATAACTGGGTAACGAATCGAGTAGCAAAGAGGCGAATAAAGCTTATCCAGTCAAGGTAACTGGGTGTGCAGACACAACCAGCGTCTATCAGAGAGAGCACCGGTTTCCATTCCAAACCATTACTGAAGGAGACACGGTCAGACTAGGTGCTGTGGGATCTTTATGCCTTCCTGGTTGGTACCCGCCTTGTTGGACATAGCGCGAAGTACCTGACCTTCCTGAATTCTTCGTACTGGGCTTGGGTTGGATAAGATACACGAGGTATGCCCAATCAGTCCCACCGATGCCTACATATTTTCACTTCAAGGATGTTCGATGATGTGCGTGGCGTTCTCCTGACTGTCTTCCCAAAGCACCAAGTCTCCCAACTTTTGACAATCAAAAGGTTGGGACTTTTTGACGAACCTCATGAAGGGAATTTGATGATGTGAGATCCCCGAGGCTTGAGGCTTTATAGAACGTTTGAAGCCGTCGAATTTTGTACATCTGGTATCGGGACGGTAAGAACAGACGGAAGAGAGCTGTCTGTGTTGACAACTAACTAGTTTTATAAACTCATCGATTGCGAAACAAGCAGTATCGTAAATCAATAGGAGCAGAAAGGAACAGTCTGGCAGCAGGGCCTTCTGGATTCATGTATGAAACACAGATAGTATAAATGGGCAGTATGCAGGGAGAGGACCATGAAAAGCAGTCGGTTACCCCCCAACTCAAAGTGGCGACGGAAGTCATCTGGAATAACAGCCGTCGTGTGTGTTTTGCAATCTAACGGACGGCGTGCTGAACCCACGGATTCGGCAGAACCAACCCAAAGTTGTATGCGATCAAATCCATTCATGATGAAGTTAACACTTAGTACGAAGCAATTAGGGAAAAAATTGTCCGTAGAAGGTCGACCTGCTTTGGTGGACACCATGTACATCTTCCCCCTCCTTGGCCGTCAGTTTGATTCCAGGCTTGTGCCTACTTCTCACAGAGCAGATAGTCGAAAGCAGCCTGGATAGGTACGAAAATTGGAGCTGACTAGAATCTCGGCACCAGCGACCGTAAGACAAGGAAACGTCAAGTGGGTCCAATAAAACGGTGGACGAATAGCCGACAAACAAAGACGTCTAAACCTGGGACGCACGGACCTACGGTCGTAATAGAGTGGAAGTCGTTTTAAAGAGAGCTTCTTCCGGGGTTCCGTCACGAAGAGACTGGACCTTACCGTGGTGTGGCGGTTTGTGTACCTCGGAGACCCATTGAGCTATACTGGGGAGTGTCCGCACGATGCTCACAGAGTCTCTCATACCAGGTTGGTCAATGGTTAGAGGTCTGACGAACACAGTCTCCTGGCCCTCCAAGTTGGCGGTTGGAACATGTATGGCGACTTGTTCCGCAGAAAAGGTAATGTATTTGCATTTCCCCGCCTAACATCGCTGCCTTGCGGTTAGGCTTTTGAGCCAAAGGCTTTGGTTGAGGACCCTAATCGTCCTCCTGTCTAGGTATGGGTGCCCTGGCAGTATCCCAGCCCTCGTACAACCATGACCTACACAACTAACAACAATACTCTCATGCCACATCGGCCGTCGCGCGGTGCCATCAGCCGGGGTTCAGGTTCGTCTCTTCGACTGCTACTGTGTGGAAACCAGTAACATGGTACAGTAGAACTACATGCTTTGATTTGACCCCAAGGTATAGGTTGGAGCATCTCACCTCTTCCTGTTTTCCAATTCCTCTTCGTCTCACAGGCTATGGCAAATCCCCTACTTCTGGGCAGGAATCAAGATGTACGATCTGATCTCAGGCAGTCAAATCCTCAAGGCCAGCTACTATCTAAGCAAACCACAAGTTTTGGAGCGGTTCCCTCTGCTGAAGAGCGATAAGCTGGTTGGAGGACTGGTTTACTATGATGGTGAGTTCCCTCTTTTCATCGTATCCTATCCTACGTGCCCTCAGAATGAATTCGCCTACCCACCATGTTGAACGCTTTGGATCGGTGAAGTTTTATTGTGGGATATCGTCGGGAAGGTTTAAATGGTAGTTTAAATGGTCCAGCCGTGAAGCTCCGAAAACTGAGGATTGTGTGGATAGTGCGATCGACCATAGTCCGTGATATGATATACTCTACGCCATTCATCAATTTCACGGTTGGTGAGACTGCAATAAGCTAGCGTTAGAAATGTAGGTCATTAGCCACCCACCCACCCCCCAGTGAAACCACTGGGAAGTTTTATTCTGGTCACCTTATACAAGGGGGTGGAGTGATGCTAGGCGCACCGGCGTAGCAAAGCGCTCTCCGACTGCACTGTTAGTCGGAAAGTGCACATGAATCAACGAGCCCTGCTACGTACCTGGGAGTGAATGGGATGTCTGTACTGACATTCGAGTCACCATTTTGCTGTGTACTTTCGTGGAACCCCCTACACACACACACACGCACATACACTTTCTTGCTAAGTCAGGTAAAGTGCGGTCCTTCCTTATCTCGCCGCCCAATCGCAGTCTCCCATATAATAACAAGAAACGCTTGAACGTGACTGCCTTATTTCTCAGTTGTCCAAGCGCCGATGCTAATCCTGGCTAGCCTCGCCTTGGCCGTCCTCATGCAATTATCATTTATTTTTGTAGAGCACGGTCACAAACATAGAAAGCGAATGCAAGCGATGAATGCGAGAGTAACAGGAGAATATGGGGGAAAAGAGAGAAACGTATCATGCCATCAACAGTTCCAGTCAGATGAGATGAATCCCAAAGTATGTAAAGATTATGATATGGAAACACGCGTCTAAAGACCAACAACCGAAGAAAGGACAAATATTGGTGAATGCTCTTCAAGGCGCGGTAGGCGCTAGCACAGTCAAGACTTGCACATCAGGCACAAAGTTTCCGTCATACTGGGTCTGGTGTGAGATTAAATGGCAAAAATGTACAT